GGGTCCATATTGGATTTATGCAAATGAAGCGCATTTTGAAAAGGTTTTGGTTCTTGTATAGGACGAATAATGCAATTTCGAAACCATCGAACCAAATGTTCTTAAATTCTGGGAGCCATAGTCCTTTAGAATTTGAGAATCCTTGGTTCTGGGTTTTTTTTTTCGTATTCGATACAAAATATCCGAAAAGAACTCACATCAAACTGATGATAGCTTCGAACAGCCGATTTCCGTCGCACATTTTTGCAACCGCTTTCGATGAGCACCCATCCAGCGTCTGCCGGAACCACTATATTCGGTGAATCGCCAACACTAATCTCGTACAGATAGCAACGACGATGTTCTGAGTCAAAACCCGCTGACTGAAATGCACTGCAAAGATAACTCTTCCGTCCGTTTTACAGGAAAAGTCGAGGGCTGCGCAGGATAAAAAACTGCACTGGGACAAAAAAATTAGCGGTTCTGTAAAGTAGTCTCTGATGTTGGTCCTTTTTCCCCAAAAAATGTGTACCTTGCATCTTTTCAATTCCAAGCAGTGCTGCAAGCAGCCGGTGATACTGTTCGCCGTCTTAACGTCAATGGCGGCATTGCCAATTTTCTTCTGCACGTGAAGTATGAATATTTCGTCCTCCTGACAAGAACTACGCGTCGCTTAAAATATGTTAAATTGATACTGTTCAGATTTGAAGAGCTTGCCAGGATGTGTCGTTTAAATGTGCACATTTGTTACCTGGTAAGCAGAATTTTTCAGCATAAATGGAATCGTCATTTTCGATCAGACTACCCGAGCCATGAGGTTCTGCAAGAGTGCTATACATCTCGCACTTCTGAAGCAGCGGAAAATAGTTCAGCGACGAGCAGTTCACCGGTTCGTTTTCTGACACCTGAAATAGTAAATAAGACAGCAGCGGATATCTCCTAGAGGAGAGATGAAACGTCAAAAATCGTATGGCGAGTACAAAATCCAGAAAGTAAAAGTTTGCTACAAAACGCTCAGTCGGTGGCGAAAGACTA